AGGTTTAGAAACCAGAGGCTGGCAGGGTCACCTAAAGAAAGGAGAAGTGAGGAGGGACTCAACTTGCAGGAGGGCAGCCTGGAACTTCTGGTTACTGCGTGACCCGATCCTTGCCTTACCAGGCCCCATCTCTGTGTGCTAAGTAATGAAAAAAAAAAAAAAAAAAAAACCTGAGGGCTTGCCAGGAATACTTGCCCTACTCAGGTCTGGTGGTGTTGAAGTCCTATCCAGCAGAGCACCACAAATTTACCTTCCATTTTTAACCTCTTTCGCAGCAAGAATAGAATTAAAAAGCCAAGGCTCTGCCTTCCAACACGCATATCCCACCCATCCCTTATGCCGCCCTGTGGCAGGCAGGAAGGGGAGAGGGGATGGGGGAGCAGGTCTGGGCCTGCTTTCTGTCAAAGGAAATATCCACCCTCTTAAGCCTTTAAGAAACTGTTTTCTTCCAAGTAGGTCCCCCTGTTACCAGGGCAACTGAGAGCCCTGGGCTTTGTGTTACTGGCTCGTGTGGAATCCCTGGGGAGGAGTGGCCTGCTGAGCTTTCCCTAGTGTGGCTGGAGGCAGGAAGTGCTACTTGGAGGTGAAGCTCTCCTCCCCGCCCCCCCCCCCAGCACATTTTGGGTAGTCTCTGACCTTGTTATTCCTTACCAACTCCTACTCCCACCATGAGCCAGTTGCAGTAATGAATTTTGTAGTTTTATGGTTCTCGATGGACCTACTTTATCAAAACTGGACTTCTTTATTATTATTACTATTTAAGCAGAAAGATCTTCCATCCTCTGATTGGCTTCCCAAATGCTGCAATTACCAGAACCAGGCCAGGCTAAAGCTAGAAGCCTAGAATTCAACCAGGCCCCCCACCGTGAGTGATGGACTCAAGCATTTAGATCATCATCTACTGCCTCCCAGATTGTGCAGAAGCAGGAAGGTCAACTCAGAGGCAGAACCCGGGATTGAATTCAGGCACTCTGATCTGAGGTGGGGCATCATCTCAAATGAGCTGGAGCAACAACATCTTAGTTGCTGAGCCAAATGTCTGCTCCTCAGAACCCATACTTGTGCACCCACCCTGAGGTGCTTCTCTCTGGAGAGGGTGTCTCAGGCTAGCTGAGGCTACCACAAAGGGTAAGGGCTAGCTCGCACAAGCCTGTGTTCTGAACTAGCGGACCCTTGCTGATGTGTTTCCTAACCACTTAGTGTGCGCTGTAACTGAAGGAAGGAGATGACACAGTATAGAGAGCGTGCAATCAGATAGTAAAGCCTTCCAGAATCAGGCCCACAAGTCACCTGGGCTGCCTCCTGTTGGGAACACTCCAGGAAAGTTCAGAATCAAACACCCTGTGAGATGTCATCTGGGGTAGTTAGTCCCCAGTGCTCCGTTCGGCCATGGGATGGATTGGGTGTTAGAATTGCCTAGAAAGATTTGTTTTTGGCTTTTTTGTTTGTTTGTTTGTTGTTTTGCTTTTGCTCTGGTCTTGTTTTATTTTTTTGTTTTGTTGTTTTAGTAATTGAAATTCTGTTTCCATTAGCATGTGTGTGAGTGCAAAAGTTAAGAGCATGGGTTCAGGGTGTCACCATCAAACTTCAAAAGTGAGCCACTTGCCCAGCCTTTCGGATAGCAGTTTCCTCTCACAGAAAATGCATGGGGAAATGGTTGAGCCTGCTTCCCAGGAAGAAACATCTTTCCCTCTGCTTTCCTTAGTACCCACTTCTTCCTTCCCGTTAGTCTGGTGTCTCCTTGACCATAACATGCAAAAGGGCCTCTGTGAGGTAGAGCCTGGTCCCCTCCCTTGAGGCAACCAGAACCCCAGATGGGGAGCGCCCAGGAAGGCATTAGCACCTCCAATAGCCCTGCCAGTCTGCTGACCCATATGAACCTCCACAACGCACATGTTCAGATTTTTTTAATTTTTTATTCATACTGGAAAGTCAGCTTTACAGAGAGGAGAGACAGAGAAAAAAGATCTTCTATCCACTGCTTCACTCCCCAAGTGGCCCCAACAGCCGGGTCTGAGTTGATCTGAAGCCAAGAACCAGGAGCCTCTTCTGGGTCTCCCGCGTGGGTGCAGGGTCCCAAGGCTTTGGGCCGTCCTCTTTGACTGCTTTTCCAGGCCATAAACAGGGAGCTGGAAGGCAAGTGGAACAGCCAGGACATGAACCGGTGCCCATATGGGATCCTGGCACATACAAGGTGAGGACTTTAGCCACTAGGCTACCTCACTGGGCCCACACGCTCAGATTTTTCTTTGTAAGGACTTCTTCTAAGCTCCATCTGTCCCATGAAGGACTCTGCAGTTTGTTTTCTGAACCTGATGCAAGATTTTACATGTAGCCCTAGTAAAGGTCATTTTAGTACATTCTTCCAGGTTAGGGACTTTATTGTGGCTCTTGATTCCATTTCGGAAGGGATCTTTTAGGCCTACCTGCTTGATGCCATCTATAGAAGCCCAGCAGGCTGCCTCTAGGTCTCCATGCATTGGCCCATTGATTCACTTCTTCATTTATGAACCAGACTAGGGTGGAGATCCTATTGTATAGCAAGCCATGTCCTTCACCCTGGACCTTACCAGCAGCTAGACAGGAAAATTGTGGCCTCAGATGGGATGGGACTTGTGCAAGATCCCAGAGTCAGTGAAAGAGTTGGATTAGAGTCCAGAGCTCTTTATCCACATAGCACTTTCAGCTGGGGGGTTGCCAAGGCTAATCCTGCCTTCCTTACCTCCACTCACCTGCTCCAACTGGCCATTACCCAATCTGGGTTCACCCACTCCTATCTGCAATGCCACGCTTAATCCCGACGATGGTAGAGACCTTGTCCAGTCCCTTGAAACACAGCAGGGGCCACGGGGCTCATGGATGCAATCCAAATCACAGAGCCTTGCTCATCCACAGAAGACACATATTCAGCCAACCACACACTTGACATTGCCATTTCTGAGTGCGCATTGCCTTAACCAAGCAGGCCCTTTCCTGCCAGGGCAGAGCTGCCTTCTGCCTGGTTCCCTCGGAGCTTCCAGAAACAGAGCACCTGAGGCATACTTAGTTGCTTTGCCAAAGACCCAGAGTCCAGTGAGGCTAGGCTCCAGTTTGTCAGGGAGGTTTCCTGGAAGATAGCATGCAGAGCAGAGTCGAGAGAGCATGGGTTCTGGAATCCCCATGGAACCTAGTCTCTGAACTGTAAAATGATTGCCTGCCTCACAGAATTGTCATGGCCATGCAATGCTATTATGTCAGTGCACGCGACTCGCACGAAGTCAGAAACACCCCTTTTTTTCCTGCCTTCCTTCCTCTCAAAGGGGCAAAGCAAATGTGTCCCCAAGAACCACTGTTTGTCTCTCCAGAGGACCCCTTGCAAAGGGTAGACCTAAGGGCTCAGCTTGGTCATATATGACAATGGGGACAAAGAGGGCCTCAGTGGTCCTAAATCTAACAGCTTGTAAAAGAGCCTCTCAGTGCTCATCAGCCTTGGCCCAGTGACTTTTCTTGTAAGCCTCAGGGGCTCACCTTGAGGTAGGAACCGTGCCTGACCCTGCCTTGTGCTGAGCCGCCTCCCCTCCGCCCCATCCCAGGATTGTTATCAGGATGAAAGTGCCTGGCACAACACTCTTGGCTAACAGCGGCTCCATGAGCCTTCCTACCTGTTTTCTCTGGGGGAGTAGGGCCAGTTCTTTGCCAGTCAACCTGGGCAGACCCTAGAATGAGGTGGAGTGTGACCCTGCAGATTGCAGTGAAGGGTAAGATGTTGCTAGAAAGGCGCCTCTGCTCTGGGAATTTGTTTCAAAGGCCTCACCAGTGAGCTGACTGGTGTCTCAGAGCGCCATCTAGTGTCATAAAGTGGAATGCCCCTTTTCCCTCCCTGTACTCCAGAGTGTATGGTGGGGGGGCGGGGTGCGCGCATGTAACCAATGCTGTTCTTCAAGACACACAGGGCTTCCACTCCCATCCCCACAATATCTGCAATCCACAAGTACACAGGACTCTAGGCAGGTTCCATTGACCTCTCTGGGCCTTATTTTCCCAATCTAAGAACTTGAAAACTTCAGGCCAGAGTTGACTCAGGCAAGTACCCAGGAATACCTGGTACCTGATGCCTACTAGGCACCTATGTACACTCGCTCAAGAACACAATGAGACACAATCTTTACACACCCTTTGTATCTTTATTGAGGAGAGAAAGCTTAAGCATACAGAGCAGTTTCTTATCGTCACAACACAGCAATGTAACAATAACACAATAACACATTACTTCAAACCAGTTTCCTCCCGGGCCTCTGGGAGTCCTTGGGCTGCCTTCATCCCCTTGCATGCATTTCCCACCCCACCCCCACCTTTCTTTCAACCCAGGAAAGCTCCCAGAACCCATAGTTCTTCTTTACAGCTCCTGTGGCTGTTACAACACAACAAATATTGAAGATTAGGGAAAGGGGGGAAAGGGGGGAAGGGTCAAAGGGAAGCGCAAGTGCCCCCTGCCCCAGAGGGCTGCAAATCGGCTCACTGCAGGTCGGCTCTTTCTCCAGCTGAGGCCACAAGTGTCCAGGGTGAGAAGCACCACGGGAACAGGCAGGGCCTGGGCTGATGCATCTCTGGAAATGGGGAGCGAGGCAGCTGCCCTTTGCAGTTCTCCATGGAGACATGCGCAGCAGGGACAGCGTGTTGACCATCAGCAACCAGGATCCACAGCCTCGAAGAACAGCAATTCCCCTTCTGGAACTCTTATTCTGAGGAAATAAGCTGAAAAACAGACACACACAAAAAAATGGTCTTTACAGGCTTGTTTCCTTTAGCCCTGGTGGGGATGGGAAAGAATCGGACATTGAAATGTCTAGCAAATGAACAGAATGCTGAAATAAATTGTTCGGCATGCATGACTGCATAGGTGGCAGCCATTTTAAATCCTGCAGATCAAGAGCTAGCAGGGATGATCTCAGCTCTGAAAAGACACGAGGAGAACACACTGGAAAGAAAGGTAGCAGAGTGTTAATAATGCTTGCCTTCAGAATGTTTGGGGTTTGTTGTTGTTCTCAGTTTCTCTATTTTCCAATTTTTTTTTTTTGAAAGAATGACTATGTGCTACAAATCTCGTGGACGGATCATCTGCAAAGGTAGCAACAGGTTATAGGAACCCAACTCCACTAATTCCCCAGCCCAAGGAACTAAACTGAGAAACAAGAGGGCATCTTACCTTCCACTGATGAACCTCACCAGAAACCAGCCTGAGGACTGGGCTCTCTCTCTGTGAATCCTCTTCTTCCAGCTCCTCTTCCTCTGGCCTCCAGGCCCCAAGTCCCAAGGCTGGGCTGAGGTTGCCTGTCAGACTCCGGTGAGGAACAGAGGCTAAACATACTGTTTTCTGCCCCCTGGCCACAGACACCCTGGTGGTGCATGCCTAGCTGCCAGGCACCATGCAGGAAGAACAGTGTCCAGAGGCAGCTCAGGCCAGCAGTGACATTGGCTGGCCTTTCGTGGCCACAGCTGACATAGTCAATATGCTCGTTTTCAGTGCAGAAACAGTGTTCTCTGGCCCCCAGGCAAGCAATGGGTCTCTTTATTAGGAGACCTGGGTTTGCACCCAAGGACCCCCGGCAGTGGGTGCACAGGAGGCAGTCACCCTCTGAGGCGCAGCAGCAAGCAGGCCAGGGACTGACCGCCCTGTGAGAGACGTGAAGGCTTCAGGTACGCTTCAGGTACGATGGATGCCGTCCCTAAAGCCAACCTTCCTCTCTCCTCACAGAATTAGAGTCCTTGAAGTTGGAGGGAGATAGGGAGCAGGCCAGGGGCCCCTTCTCTAGCTGTCCCGGAAGCAAAGGCCACTTAGCCCCAAGGATACAAAGTCTCCTCCTCCTCCCCCTCTCCAACTCTCCTGACTGCCTGCCTTTGGGGCAACACCAAGGAAACAGGTGGAGCCTGCCATGTGGGGCTCTGTTCACGGGCAGTGTGGTAAGAGGAGAAGGCCCCAGATCTGGCAACTTGCTCCTGAGATGGCAGTCTGAGGGAAGGTAAACTCAAATGCCGAAGTGACAGCGGCTTGCAAGCGACAGCCTGACAAGTCTCGGGTTGTCCATTCGACATGTGGCTTGGCACACTTTCAGTAGGCTAGACGTGGGGTCCTTCTGCTGGAGGCGTGACGTGAAACAAATACAGGCTTCTGCTCACCGTCAAATGTATCTGCTCATTGACCTCAGTGGCTTTGGAGTTCAGTGTAGCCTGTCCTTTCAATCCCTGGGGCAGATCAGTGAGGCACTGGGTAAAGTCTTGGTGAGCCAGGAAGAAGACAAAATCGTAAAACACGGGGTGATTAACTGCAGAGAGGCGAGGATGAGGAATAACTAGAGGGGAAATTCAGGAGGTGACCAGTTCAGTTACAAGAAGAGGCCCAGAAACCTGCTCTCCAGCTTGAGGTGGGACTGAGCCATGGGACAAGAAGAGAGCCATTGCTGGCCCTCCCTGCCCAAGAGGCCCTGGCTGGACACACGAGGCTCTCTGGTCATGGTGGCACTATAGTCCAGAGTTGTACAGTTCATCTTCGGGCTCTGCAGGTCTGGATTTCCCTTAAGGACTGGTCAGCAGATGGGGCAGGTGTGGCAGCAAATAGCAAAGGGTGGAGGGAGGGGGGGGTGGAGTAGAAGGGTGTGTTGTGGGTGGTCGTCTCGCCCCAGCACTCACACGCGAATTCGGCCCCGAGAAGCTCGGTGGCCCCCCTGTCTTGGAGTGAGGCGGAACAGCACTGGGGGACGTCTTCGCGTCTGACGTTGCCCCAAGCGACCGGCTCGGCGAATCAGTGGCGGGGAGCTGTAGAATGGCGAATTGGTGCCTGGAAGGCCTTCCAGAAGTGGGGCCCGATTCTGGCTCCTCCTTCTGCCAGGCTGTATGATGGGAGGCGATGCACCCAGGAAGTTTTCAGCATGGAAGTTAACTACGGCGTTGGGGGTCTGGGTGGAAGTGGTCACGAGGACAGGCTCCATCTCCATGAGCTCCTCCAGGTCTTCATCCTGGGACTCCTCCTCCACCTCCTCAGGAGTGTCCTCCGGCTCCTGCTCCACCTCTGTTTCCTCCTGGGCATCGTCATTCTTCTTCAGCTCCTCTATCTTTTGCAGCTCTTCCTCATCTAACTCCACCACCTCGACCTCCTGATCCTCATCCTCATCCTCCAGCACCACCGTTCTGCTCATCTCTTCCTCCTTCTTCCTCATCTCTGCCTCTAACCTCTCCCTCATCTCTTGTGTCATAGACCTCAAGCGCCTCTGGCGGATTTTTTGGTAAAGCTTGCGCCTGCGGGTGGCTTCATCTTCACCCCCATTGTGGTGCTCTTCACTCTCACTTTCAGCCTCATTAGTGTTAGAAGACAAAGAGCCATAGCCCAGGCGATGCCCAGTGAGCGGGATTGGCTTGAGGGTCCGCAGTTTTCTTTCTATCTCTGCACATTCAAGGATCAGTTCCTCCAGGTCAGCCATTTCAGTTGACCATAAGAGCTCTTTTCGGTACGACTCCGGCAGGCCCCGGAGGAACTGGGTTTGAAGGCGACAGTCATCCCAGGACAAGAACTGGGCCAGGAAGCGAAAATTATCTGCATAGCTGCGGAGGGGGCCATCTCCCTGCTTAAGCCTGCGAATGGCCTTTTTAGCCAAACGGACCGGGATGGGGCCACAGAATTCCTTACGGGTTTCATCCAGGAAGCGCTGATAGTTGGTACGCAGAGAGCTTCCTTCCTGGGTGACTGAGGTGGCCCAGTCTTTGGCTTGGCCCGCGAAATAGGTAATCAGAAAAGCCACGCGCTCTGCGTCCCGGGGGAAATGTTCCTCATGGTTAGCTATAAAGGTCTCTAGCTGCATCAGGAATTCAGCCAGGTAGATGGGGTCTCCAGAGAAGGGCTCCACCTCAGGCCGCTCCTGGTGTGGCTGAGAGGACTGCGGGGGCGGCTCCTTTGACGCGGGAGGGGGCGGCGGGGGCGCCATGGGCAGCATCGGGGGATCCGTGGGCCCGTCCAAGGTACTGCAATCCTGGATCACGTTAATCAGAAGATCATCCGAGACAAACTCGGACTCAGGGCGTGCGGGTGGCCAGCACAAGAAGGGCAGCTCCCCCTCGGGGGCGGCGTCGATCTCACCGAGCGGGAACTCAAAGTTCTCCTCGGAAAGGACAGGCACCGAGGGCCCCGGCCAGCGGATGAAGCTCGAGACGTTGCCCCGCAAGGAATTAACCTCGGCCAGGGCTCTGCCGAGCTGAAGGCCCAAATTGGCGTTCTCCCCGCGGAGGGCATTTAATTCTTCCCTCAGGGCTACATTCGCCATGCGGAGACTGTTGAGATTGCCAGGCGCCTCGGACATTCCTGATTAGCTCGGAGGCCTTGGGTCTCCGGGCGGGGGGGTGGGACAGGGAGGGTGGCGGCGGGGTGCGGGAGCGGCCCGACGTGAGGCGACCGGGGACGCGGGAGAGACCGGGCCACACCCACCGGGGCGAGCACGGAAAGCGGGCGCTCGGGGCGGAGGGCGCGGCGGCTGGGCCCGGGGCGTGTTACCTCGTCGCGGGCACCGGAGAAGGGCAGGCGGTGACGCGGGGCTGGAAGGCGCAGGGCACGGGACGAAAGCGACGCTCAGGCTGCCGGGCGGCTGGGTGGAAGCGGCTGGAGCGAGAAGCGAGCAGACTGCGGCACGATCTGTCCAGGGAAAAAATCCTGCAGACGGCGTGTCTCGGCCTTTTAAGCACGGCCTCGCAGCCGCCGCGTCCCCCCGCCCCCCGCCACCCACCCACCCCTTCCTCGCAGGGGCGGGACTTCGGGGACGGCGGGCGCCCACTGGCCGCGGCGCCTCGCTCCCCCCCACCCCCCCCTCCTCGCCTGCGCCTCTCACTGACTCTCTCCTTCCTTAGCTGCAGCTAACTCGGGTCGGGAAAATGCGACAGCGACTGCCCACTCCAGGTCGTCATGGCGACAGCCAGTGAACGTGTTCCTCTCCTCGGGCAGGCCCCCGAGCGTAGAGGAGCTGCTTCGAGAGGCGCAGCTCAATCTTCAGAGCCTGTTGCAAGGTACTGCGAGGGAGGGGGGCTGCGGCCGGAGCGCAGAGGCGAGATGCGCAGCGGCAGGAGGGCGGCACCGAAGAAAGAGGACAGGGACCAGCAGGAGAAAAAGAGACAACGGTTCAAAGCCTGTGGAAAAACAAAGCACACATTTTCCAGCTTGCTTCACCTGCCAGACTAACGATTCTAAAAGCCTCTGTTCTCAGGGCTCTTCTCCCCTGCCACCCGGCTTCACCCCACTCCCCGGCTGTCCTGTTCCATAATCCATGGGAGGAGGAAGAGAAAGACCAGGCCGAGGCAGGGCAGTGCAATGGGTAAAGCGATTCACAAAAAAAGAGCCTAATGGGAAACCCCCACAAAGTGGATGCACGTTCCCTCCAGTCTTGCCTTTGGAATCCTAGCACCGGCAAACAAAGGGGGCATCTCTTGGGCCTCCCACGCTGGCTTCACACCCTCTGCTCCTGCAATAGCCTTGCCCGCATGCCCTCTTAGGGAGCTACTGGCCCACGAAGTACATAGTGCTAGGTTTGTCTTTTTTCTGCTCACCTGCCCAAGCTGAGCTTCTCAATGTAAAGACTTGCATCTCTTGCTACCCTTGGGTGTCCAGAAGCACCTGGCGAGGGACTGGATCTCTCCCCAAGGTATTCAGTGGATTATAAATGTAAAAGAGGTCTTGTCACCCAGAGAGAATAGGAAACTAATGATCCGCCACCCAACTGAATCACAGGCCAGAACTCCCACCTCTCAGCCAAGGCCATTGGTGACCCTAAAGAAGATGCTAAGGGACACCATTAGCCTTATGTTCAAATAACAAAAGCGCCTCCATGGGAAAAAGAAAAAAAAAAGCCAGTGTGCTCCGTGTGGCTACCTGGGGCGGAATTGCACAATTAGGAGCGATGGGTGAAAACTTAGAGGTGGGTAGGTTTCGCCTCCAAATAAGGCAGAACTTTGCTGGCAGGACCAAGCGCCCTGATTTTCCCCGGAAGGCATGGACTGCCTCAGGAGGCAGAGATCTTGCCTCCCTTGAAGGTGTGTGCACTGAGGCTGAAGAAGCACCTGGAAGGGCTGCCGAGGACTCTGAGCACAGAATGAGCACAAAGAGGGGAGCTCAACCAGAAAACAGCCAGAGCAAGCCTGCTTCCATGATACCAAAGTCTTTGCTCAAACGTACATAGAGTCTGTTCTTTACTTTTGCTTTCTTCCTTTATGCGTCTAATATATCACTTCAGTCCAACACATTCAAATCTTTTGCATCCTTATTCCCTGAACATGCTCCTGAACTTCCATCTCTTCTTCTATACTGCTAACTCCTTCCCTCCCCTCTCTTCACTTTAGCCCTCCTGGACCTGACTCCCAGGCACAGTGGGACTAAGGTGCAGGAGACAAGGCTCACAAAAGCTCAAGTAAGAGTTCTTGACAGCCAAGGCAAAATTCTGGACTGGACTTCCTGGTGCAAATCTCTTCTTGTTTCCCATACGTCATTTGCTTGGTAGGGTGGCTGAGGCCCTGCAAAGCTGCAGAGCCTCAGAGAGGACCCTGCAGTACAAGATAGCCATCTTGAGCCTCTGAGTTTTAACACTTAAGGTGGAGGCCATTGAGCATAAGGGCTTGCTACCCGAACACACACAGCTCGCGTTCATTGACTTTCTGTCCTCCTTGGCTCTCACGAGCCTGGCAAGCAGGGGCTTTTCCATTTCTAAGCGCAGTTGCTCAGACATGAGGAAGTAGTGTAAAGAAACAATGCGAGTCAGGCCTGGCAGCCTGCAGGAGACCTGGCTCATGGGTCTTCCATGGGCCCAGCATGTGGCCGTGGCCCCCTAGAGTGTGTCTCCACTGTGCTATTTTTCAGAAGAATATGAGCAACAGTACTCAGAGGCCAGACTTCTGGGGCAGACTTTCCGCTCTTCTGATGAGGTCCCTGAGCCCACCCCCAGCCCAAGCTCTCAGGCTGCCAGGCGTCTGCAGTTTGTATTGATGGTGAGTTGCTTCTTTCCCCACCTGGGAGAGCCAGTGTGCACCCACTGACAGTGGACTTCGAGCTGTGTATAAACAACCTGCCGGAAGCTGCTGTTTACCTCTGCTCACCAGCAGAGCCACCCAGAGGCCCCATCAGGTTGGGCCCTGCACAGCAGGTGCCTGGCTGGATGGCCTGTCCACGCTTGCCTGCCTCCCACCCAGATGAAGCCTCCGAGCACGCCGCCTAAACAGCCATCCTGTGGGCACAAGTTCATTGCCAGTTGGGAGCACACCCTGCCCATCACCTTCTTTCCCAACAGCCTACAAAACGGCAGCTGAGTGAGGATGAGACTACCACCCAGGGTGTGAGGGCCCCTGAGGCCTCCCTGAGCCTGTCTACCACAGCCGACAAGCAAACTGCCTGGAATGGCCCCTTCCCTCTACCCATCCTAGAGGAGAAGTGGTGGCCTCAGCCCTGCTCCACGCACTCAGATCTTGTGCCCATCAACATCTCTGGTAGAGTTTGCTCAGCACCACCTGTTTGCTTCCCTCCATGCCACTGTAGACCACCCTCTCAGAAAGCACCAGGTGCTGGGGGAGGGGGGCCACTCTCTGCTACTGGCTCACCTTGCATTGTCATGGTCATGGCTCTTGCCAGGGAATGGAGGCATGCAGAAGAGGGGAGCTCTTGCTGTTCTTTCTTCACTCCCTACGGGCACTGCCACCCTGGGACCATTGGAAAGCAAGTAAAAATTTCTTAACAAAAGACTTAAGAACATTAGGAACTTGTGACTCTTTGGAGCCTATATAGCAGGATAGTTTGTGATTTCTGTTTCACTTGAAGAGACAACTTCTTGTGCCCAAAAGCTAGGTTTGAAAATACGGATAGGAGGAGGCAGAGTGAGGTGCAAAGAGCTGGAGGTCAAAGCAGAATGTCAGTCACACCCAGACAGAGACCAAAGGCATGTGGCAGTTTTACTAGATACCAGGTCTGCTAGTCAGTTTATTTAGGAGGTCAATTTGTTGGACAAGTTTTTCAAGAAAGGAGGCAGTTAGAAAGCGACTAAAACAAATTTCCTTTTTTAAAGGCAAAAAAAAAAAAAAAAAAGAAGACGACGACGAAGAAGAATGCCGTGCAACCTTGAGAGTGAGGAAATGATGCTCATAACTCAGCTGACTGTAGCTGTAGGGCAAGTAGCACTCCATAGCATACTTGTCACTAACCTGTGCCCCACCCCTCCATTCCATCAGTTGTAAGAGAACAAAGAGGGGATGGTCATTTCAGGAGATGGGGCCAGGGACCTGATGGAATCAAGACCTTAGTAACCCAAAGGGATCCAAGGGATCTTGGGAGCCAGCATCATCCCATGTTACACTTGGGGAAGTTGATAAAGACAATGAGGACAGCTCTCACTATAAAGGGCTGTAACTCCCTGGATATGGGGTAATCCACTGGCACCACCACTATCCAGAGAAATCAGAGGCAGGAAACAGAGTCCACAGCCTAGGGAAATGTATCTAGTGTAAGGGCAGAGGAGGAGAGACTCACAAAGTGATGTTGGGTGCCATTTCAAAACATCCATCCTACGGTCAGTAAGGTCATTCTTGAGTCCGGCCTGTGGAGACACTTTCTGGGGTGCAGGTGGGAGGACTGTGCATCTGTGTGGCTGGCAGGGGACGTTCTGGTCAGCCAGCTGCTGAATAAGACACAGTGAGAAGAATTCCATATCTGGCCTCACAGGTGTGCCCCAGCAACTTGCCAGGAGTCAAAAACTAACCCAATGCTTTAAGGAAACTAGAGTTCAGTCCCCATGCAAGTGCCAACTACGATCAAATATGACCAGATGGCTGTGGAGCAGAATATCAGGCTGCATCCTAGACTGGGGGGAACGGGGCCAACCTGGTGCCTTTTGAGAGACACTGGCCTCCACTGGCCCAGAGGGGGGTACTTTTCTAGGCAAAGATCACAGTCCAGCAACATCTAGTATAAGCAAGGTCCTGCGATTAAAGTTTCAGAAGTTATCCCATCTATTTCAGTGTTTGCCAGGGTTGAAACCCGCTGCCCCCAAGCCACTTAAGACTCACAGGTGACCTGAGTTGTGGCCTGTGTGCTCAGGGCTAACTTGGGAGGGGCGGGAAAGCAGTGACGCCTGCCTGGGTGCTGTTCACACTCATCGCTACTGCCATCATCTTTCTTTTCTACCTCGGGCCAATTTCCGCTGTGCTTTCAACAGAGACCACGATCACCCAAGTGTCTTTATTTTGGCTACAGGGCAGCAGTTTGATAAACACGCAAGTTTGCGACACTCGTTGTTTAACACAGAGACAGCCATCAACCCCAAGTCCACCCTGAGGCGGAGGCGGACCATTATTGGAGTCTCTAACTTTTCCCAGCGAGACCAAGGTGACCCCACCAGAGCTGATCCTCCAGACCTTTCCCCTTGCCCATGCCCACCAGGCCTGCCACCCAGGTGGGATTGTGGTGATGGGAACAAAAGTGACTCTGGGGAGGGAGGGCTTTGGCCCTCCTGAAAGAGCCTATGTGGCAATTAAGGACAGCAAGGGGCCTCTACTAAAGGGAGGCAACTGAATATAAAGAGGTCTTTCAGACTAAAAAACTTGTTACATGTTTGTTTCCCGTTATAAACATAATATAACCCTGTATGCCAAATTTAGGCAAATACAAGGGGACCTTTGACAATTTGTAGAAAACTGAATTACAAGATAGTTATTTTGGTGCAAAAAAATGATGACATCCCTATACAGTTTTTCACGGTAGGCATTTTTATGGACTCTTAAAAAAAGAAACTGGTATGCATGATTTCAGAAATTTTTGGCACCAAAATAAACATATTTTTTAATTGCCTTCTCCATGAAGTTTTTGAAGGCCTCTCACCGAGAAAAGGGAGGATGTGGAGAAGTCATAGCTACAACTCTCATCTTATCAGAACCATTTCTATCATTAAGTGAATGTCATTCAAAAAGCAGACCGGAAACAGGTGGGTGTGAGTCCTGACCTCTCCACTTACAACCCAGGGCATCTTTGTCAAGTTATATAAGCTGCTTTGAGCCTTAGCTCCTTCATTTGTGAGTTGAGGATAATGCTAAGGACCTTGTAGGGTCATTGTGAGGATTTGAGTTATGAGATGCAATTTGCCAGTCCTGTGCCAGGCACACAGTCAGAGCTCAAATAGTGGCTGCTATAAAGAATGGCCATAGCAGTAGTAGCAATGGTAATGATATAACAGCAATAATGGCTTGTGTATGTGACAGTCTTTGAGGGTCTTGAACATCTAGAGAGTTTCCTCACATACATAAGTTATCTAAGCCTCTTGTTGTAAAGCTAAAAATGTGGATCAGCTGCCAAAAATGCAAACTCTTAGCTTCCCAGTGCTGGCATACTCCAGCATCATTGCTGGAGCTGAAAGCCACACAGTCCTGTCCTTAGTCCAGAAGCCTCTACTCTCATCTCAAGATTGATGGATGCTGAGGCCTAGGATGTTTCCTAAGCCCGGGGTGAAACTCTAAGAGAAACCCAAGGTAGTCCCAAGTGACATTTCAGCTCTCGAAGAAATAATCAAAACTAGAAAGCCTTTGGCAGCCATCTAGACAATTCAAGGGCATTGTATGACTCATTGTGTGGTGATGGGCAGAGACCCAACTTCCCCAACATCCTCATCTATGAAAAGGAAGAACCACGGAATTCTGGCCAAGCTGTTGGCAAATGCTTCATGACAAAAAGCTGATACTTCTGTCTCCAATAGCTGGCAACAAATCCCTTGCTGTACCACTAATGTTATTTGTTTACTTCCTCCAGGTCACAGCAACAGCCCAGCAGACAGTGTGGCCCACTCCACCCCCTCAGATATAAGGCTCAGTCACTCACTTCCAGAAGGTTTTCATGGACGAGTTGCAGTTGGTCAGGAAACTCGGTTCCCAAATCTCACCTCACGAGTACTAAGAACACCTTCGAGTGAGCCAGAAGAGCCTTCCCAGGCACATAGTGGCCCTAGCCCTCCTGGCATGGAGAGCATGGGAATGGTATACAGTGTCCCAAGTTCTTGCAATGGACCAGCAGAGTCAACCTTCTCCACTTCCTGGAAGGGAGAGGCTTTGACCTACATGACACCAAGTGCTACCACCGAGAGCAATCAAGTCGATGAAAATGGGAAAACTCCTTCCTCGGGGAAGCTGTGGGTCTCTCTGAACACACTCCCACCTCTGGTTCCTAAGGAGGCTGCTACCCTCTTTGTTGCTCGTGATAACCCCACAGGATGCAGCAGGTCAGCTGGCTACTCTGAGCACCCTACTCAACAAAGAGCGGTCCCAGAAAGGCCTTCCAAGATGGGCCTTCTGACCCGTGGTACTTCAAGGCTGGAGACCAGCTCTGGGGGGGGCAGCAGGTTTCGGGAGCGATCACTGTCTGTGCCCACAGATTCAGGCACTACAGATGTGGACTGTGCCAAGCAGCAGAAGGCCCGTGAGGCCTGTGCCCTGCCTTATGCCAGTACAAGCCCAGAGGGCAGTACCAGTGCTGACAACATTGCTTCCCTTAGCGCTGAACAGGAAGCTCAGCACAGAAGGCAGAGATCTAAGAGTATCTCACTCAAGAAGGCCAAAAAGAAGCCTTGCCCACCAACACGCAGTGTATCGCTGCTCAAAGATGAGCCAGTCCTCTTATCAGAAGGAGGGTCAGTGCTACCTAAGGACAACAGGCCCAGGAGCCTGTGCCTCTCCTTGGATCAAGGACATCACTCATCCCACCCAGATGCTCAGGGCCAACCAGCTGTGCCAACCCTCAAAGATCCAGAAGGTACGCAATTTTCCCACCACTGGTATCTTACCAACTGGAAGTCCGGTGACACGTACCAATCCTTGTCCAGCTCCAGCACTGCCACTGGCACCACCGTCATCGAGTGCACCCAAGTTCAGGGCAGCTCAGAATCTCTGGCGTCCCCTTCCACCTCCAGAGCCACCACACCTTCCCAACTCTCCATTGAGGTGGAGGCAAGGGAGGTTTCCTCTCCAGGAAGGCCCACTGGACTGATGTCACCCTCCAGTGGATACTCCAGCCAGTCAGAGACACCAACACCCACGGTCTCCATGTCCTTAATGCTGGGCCACTTACCTACTGCAAGCAGCAGTGTCCGGGTACGTCCAGTGGTACCTGAGAGGAAATCATCACTACCCCCGACATCACCCATGGAGAAAATTTCCAAGTCACAGCTGTCATTTGACCTACCCTTGGCTTCTTCTACCAATATAGATCTGTCGGGGATGAGTATTTCCCTCAGAAGCAAAACCAAGGTGAGCCGGCATCACTCAGACACAAATACAAATTTCGGGGCCAAGTTGGCCCAGAAGACCAGTCCCAACCAGCCAATCATGCCCATGGTTACTCAGTCTGACCTGCGTTCTGTTCGCCTGAGGTCAGTCAGCAAGTCTGAGCCGGAAGATGACGTTGAGAGCCCTGACTATGCCGAGGAACCTGGAGCGGAAGAAGTCTTCAGTTTGCCAGAGAAAAAAGTGAAACCTCCTGTGGCTGAAAAGCCTCCGCTGGCCCGAAGGCCCCCAAGCTTGGTGCACAAACCTCCATCTGTCCCCGAGGAGTACCCACTGACTTCACCCTCCTTGGCTATGACCTCCAAGAGCTCAGCTCCACACATCAGGCCACACCCCCAGGATAGCCACACGGTGATGCGTAAGCCAAAGGCCTGCAGTTTGCCTGATGCCAGAAGCCCAGGGGAGTCTGCAGCACCCTCATCTCTTGTCTTTACACCTTTCACCAGTTCCTCTGGTGCTTTCTTCTCAGGAATGCAGCAACCTCCCCGGGGAAGTCTGGAGGATGAGGGCTCCAAGAGGAGAGCCCTGCCTGAAAGAATTAGCCTCCAGAGCCAGGAAGAAGCTGAGAAAAAGAAAGGCAAGATCCCACCTCCCGTGCCAAAAAAGCCCAGTGTGCTGTACCTGCCTCTCACCTCGCAGATAACACACATGGACACCTACCTGGCAGACTCGAGGCTGCCCCTGAGCCCCATCATCACGCTGGAGGAAGATGCCAAGTGTCCCCCGATCAGCGACGAGTCGCGATCACCTGGCAAAAGGATGGCTTCGACGCCACAAGCTGACAGCGAAAAGGAGGCAAGCCCTCTGGGTTAGTAAACTGCCCACTGGTTTTTCTTTCAATCACATTCCCTCGTGAAAAGGTGAGAATACAATGCCAGGGACAAAAGTTGAGTCCCCAGAATGCTTGTCCTGATCCCAGATGACCAAGTCAGTAGAGACCACCTCTTGAGGATTGTGTTACTCTACAAGGAAAACACTACTGCCCTTACAACAGGGAACTGAGGTGGGAGAGAGTTCTAAGACCCAGTCTACCATTGAACTCCTGGTGCTCAGATTGTGAAATTGATTGGGATCCTCACACCTTAGTACCTGAAGTCCCCATCTACCTAGCTAGTCATGCATCCCTTGTCCTATGATCTGCTCCTCCATTTCATAGTACAGTTGTTTTCACTAGACTCACTGGATCTAGGTTCGCACACAAGACTCAGTACCATCTCAAACTGAGTTCAAGTATCGTGGCAGGCTTGTGGACTTCTGAAGCAATGAAATGTGCTACCCAGCAGTAGCTTTTCTTCATGTCTTCCAAAAGAAAGGGAACCCACTTTCTCAGCTCTCTCTCTGGGACCCCTAAGACTAAGCTACTTGATGTTTCTCATCTGGTTTTCCCTAATCTTTTTTAATTGCAGTGAAATACACATGATGAAACAGTTACCATTTTCACCATTTTTTAAGTGTGCAGTTAATTAGTGTTAAGCTGACTTATGTTGGAGACAGGACTTAGGCAGGCAGTGAAATTGTAGCCGATGATTCCCGCATCCCATGCTGCAGTGCCTGAGTTCCACTCCCAGCCCTGCTGCCTATTACAGTTTCCTGGGTGTGTATACTCCTGGGAGGAAACGGGTGATGACTCAGGTGCTTAGGTCACCCACACTCATGTAGGATACTCAGACTGAGTTTCTAGCTTCTAGTTTCAACCTGGCCTAGCTCTGGCTGTTGGGGATGCTTGGGCATTGAAATAGCAGATGAAGATCTTTCTCACTGGCTCACTGGCTCTCTTTCCCATCGAATTTCAAACAAAACTGAAAACAAATAAGTAAATTTTTCTAAATAAATCCTTTCTCTTAAAAAAAATGCATTCACATTGTTGAACAGCCCATCTCTAGAACTCCTTGTACCTTGAAAAAAGGAAACTCTACCTACATTTCTCCTCCCCATCCCCTTGTAACCAATGTTCTACTGTCTCTTTCTATAATGTAACCGCTCTGTGAACTTAACATGAGTGGACTTATACAATATTTCTCTTTTCCTGACTGCTTTATTCCATTTAGCTTAGTGGCTTTCATGATTCATCCATGCTTCTTATCCTTTTGTGACCCCTTAACACCAAGTCTCAAAGCCTCTTGACCTTCTTTAAGCTGATTTAGACTTTCCACATAAGTTAACCAAGGCAAGCAAGTTAATCACAGCCACAGGTGATTTTGGAATTGGTTTCCTCGGACTCCACCAGGCTGCTCTGAGACTCAGATAGGTCCCATCCTCCCATGCTAGAGTAAGCTTTGCTTCTCTCTCTCTTTCTCTCTCTCTCTCTCCCAGCTGCTTCATTTTTTTAAAATTTATATTTACGTTTCTTTTTCTTTGAAAGGTATGGAGAGAGACAGACAGGGAGAGACAGAAAAGAAGATCTTCTGTCCTCCAGTTTGCTCCCCAAATACCCACAGCAGTCACTGCTGGGCCAGGCTTGAAGCCAGGTGCCTGAAATTCAATCTGGATCTCCCAAGTGGGTGGCAGGGGCCCAAGCACTTGAGCCATCACCTGCTGCCTCCCAGGGCATGCATTAGCAGGGAGCTATAATTGGAAATAGAGCTAGGACCCAAACCTATCCGTTCCAATGTGGATGCAGCATTTCAACTACTATGCCACATGCCTGCCCCTGTTTTTATTTTTTTCAAATGATATATTTAAAATATGAAAATTGCTTGGCCACCTGTTGCCATCACAGAGATATGAGAGAACAGGAACCCAGAATGAACTTCGCCACCCCCTCCACCCTGGGGAAGTGACTGGACTCTGAACTTTGTGTTTCTCCTCTGCAAAATGGAGATGCTACACATCTCCATCCTGCCGTCCTTCCAAAATCACCTTGAAACCATATGAAATGACATGTGGGAATATGCTTTGTCCCATCCATTACTATCAAAATCATTCCTTTTGGTTCTTTTTTGCCTAGGGCGTTCTGAAGAACCGAGTATCGAAGAAAAAAGTTTGATCAGTGATAAAACAGCCGAATGGATTGCAGAGGATGATGATGATGTGTTTGTGACTTCACGCACAACTGAAGATTTATTTACTGTGATACACAGGTCTGGAACAATTTCCTTATTCGAATCTATATGCGATTGCCTTCCTTTTTTCTACTGAAAGAAACATTGCTATCTCTAAGCAGTCTTTAAAATTGCAACTGGAGACTAAGTTCAGATATCTGCATATGTGAGCACAGTCTGCAGGCTCACATCTCAAATTCACTGACATCTCTGGATGAAGTGGAGGAGGGGAGGGGAGGACCAAATGCCAAGCGAGAGGCCCCTCGTCTCCTAGCAACCGCTTGGCCTATTGTGGCTCCATCTGTTCTCACAGCTCTGTCTACAGTCAGACATTTAACCCTTCACAGAATTCCTTGTGCAAAAAAATCCCATCAAGAGGTGACGTGGGGTACCAGGCAGTGTATCAAAGCTGGAACTTGGGCAAAAAGAGATAAGTTGGGAAGCCAGTTATTGCACCAAGACACAAGGCAGAGACACAGTGACCACAAAAAAAAAAAAAAAAGCTGGAAAGAGCCTAGTAATTGGAGCTGGAGCCCCAGTTCAGGAAAGAATCAGCCCCTAGGCTGTCCTAATTCAGAGTCACTAGCCTGACACCTTAAATTCGTCCTTGCCCCCAGAACCTGGGCAGAACTGAACCAGCAGGCATAGGTCAAAGGGATTTCAGCCGAGGGTGGGCACTGATAAAAGTGTGGGGGCGGGAGTCCCAGCAACAGGCTCTCAAGATTTAGAGCCCAGAGATAAAGCCACTCCCTAGGACTGTTTGCAAGGCTGCTGCCTGCAGGATCTCAGTTCACATTCTGTGAAGTGCTGCTTCATGTCCACTGCATGAATTTGCTCCAAGTGAACTTTCTCTTATTTAGGTCCAAAAGAAAGCTGCTCGGCTGGAAGGAGCCAGGTGAGGCCTTTACCAGCAACAGACCGAGCCCCCACTCACCAGTAACGAACACAGCTGAGTCTCCTACCGGCGAGCCTGCTGCCATCGTGGGCCCAAGCAACAGTGCCAGCCTAGATGCTGGCAGAAACGATGATTTCAAGGCTCTGCTCCAGAAGAAGGGAAGTAAGACAACCCCACGGTCCCGCCCTTCGGCAGCTGAACTGCTGAAGACCACCAACCCACTGGCTCGGAGAATTATTGCACAATTTTCAAAAGACTATGAAACCACTGACAACCCCAGCACCTAGGCCCTGGGGTCAACAAGCAGGGTTTCTTTACTAAACTTGAGTAGAGATGGGAACGCGAAAGGGTTTTGAAAAAGAACCATGGACATAGCAAAGGAGCCTACATTTCTTTTATATTAGCTCACGCCCTGGACAGCAGGAGAGAGGCCACTGCATTTACAGCTGACCTCAGCATGCATCTGAATCATCTGCAGACACTGCATTTTCATACTTACAATCTTGCCATGACTGAATGAATACGAAGCTTCATCTTTTCCCCTCTAATGGTGTGCATTAACTTCAAAAAAATGTTCTGTGAGAGGGCATATGTGCCACCTTTCCAAACAATGACCCAGCTGCTCCAGTGCTGACTCCTGGGTGAGAAGATTGGGGGCTACTTACACCCAGGAAGCAGAAGGTGCCACCATTGCTGATTATTCGCTTTCCAGGGGAAGCCTTGATGGCCTAGTGTAGAGATACAGAGAGACTAATGTCTTCTTAACCACAGTTTTACTTTCCCCAGTGAGCAATGTGCAGGTGTGCACTTGTTTTGGCATGGGGTTGATTGGTTGGCCTTTGTGGAGCAAGATATGAATGTGACTGTCCTGAAACATCATGCCTTTTGCAGTTTGATTGTCTACACGGAGATCAGGGTGATGAGTTGTAGTAAACACAAAAAGGAGACACACCCCCTTTCAGCTAAAAAGGAGACTAATTGCATGGATGAACCAAGCTCAGCCAACAAACCAGGCAACCATTCATCCATTCAGATCTAGCCAAGGTAACTCATACATTCGTCTTGAGATCCTTCAAGTGTCTGTCAAGAATCACAGGCTCTGTGCCCAGCTCGTGCTGCATTCTAAGAACTCTCATTTCGTTTGCATATAATATTCATTACAGAAAGTAATTAGCTGAAGAACAACATCATCAAAGGTTCAAAGAGCAGAAAAAGGAAAAAAAATCTTGCCCCCCACCAGCCTGTTCAGCTCATAGTTGGTGGCTGATCTGGTTTTATTTGAAGGAAATATGGTTCTGTTTGAAAAACCAAGACTTTTTTTAATCTATCCAAATCTAAAACGCAGCCTTGCAAGTTTCTATGGCCCATGACATGAAAAAGGGCTATTTTTTGCCCATTTGGTTCTGTATTTTGACCAGTTTTCAGTTAAGCATGCTGGGGGAGAGTAAGAACTTGTGTAAACGGGATGCTGAAAGTGCTCCGGAACAATCACAGTCCCTCTCCCAGGCTAATGGGCACCAAATATTCTCGTCAACTCAATTTTCTAGTCAGAACAAGAGGAGTGATTCCTTTAATTTTCATATACCCAACTTCTAGGAGGTTAGGGATAAAAAGACCCAATGACAGGAAGTTAACTGTCTACTGTTTCCTAAGAAGCAAAGAGAAAAGAACCTGCTTCACCATGAATGATCCTCCTCTCCTTCCTCCTTCATGCCATAGCTGACACATTGATTGATAAATCAACCTCCTGAAGGATGCAGTAAGAGTTCCAGAGACAAATAGATCTCAATTTTGATAGAACGCGCTACTCACCAATGAGAAGCAAGCAACACTCCACCTGGACAGAGAGGAGAAAAATCGTGTTGAGCACTAAGAAGACTTGAGCCTCTCATGTATAAACATGAGGCTAAGGCCTGGGTAGGTGCAGTTCTGAATTCTAGACTTCCGGGTACAGGCCAGACTCACCAATTTTCTTGCAGTCAGTGTTTCCCTCTGATTTAGATAGAAGCCACTTAAAAGAGTAAACAGCTAGAATAAGCCCAGATGCTTTTGGAAATATTGGAACTACTTACATTTTCCTGAAGTAAAAACAAATTATTTTTTGGCTTAATTTATATAAGCGTGCCACACTTGTCTGCCCTGAACTCAGAATTCTAAAAAGTGTGAACATTTTCCTTTAAGGGAAATAAAGGAATGTTTGTGCTTTTGCCTAGGAAAAGAGAAAAGTTATCAGAGTTTGCTCCTTGGGAACCATTTTGAATAGCTGAACTCTAGAACTGAGTACGAGATTTACACAGTACAGGACTTATTACTTCTGCTAAATTTTCTGGAAGCTTCTTGTTTGCTACTTCTAATGGGTTTTGCCTCTCCCCTCACCTTGCTACCTCTGGAGGTTTTCCCAAGATTTTAAAGCTGAATATCCTGACACCTTTACATTTTTCAGTGTCCTTGATTCTTTCTTTCCTCAACAATATTCCATAGGCCTGGAACTATTAAAACAACTTCTACATCATCATTATCAGTTTGGTCCTCAAATGCCCAGTACTGTTCCCACTAGCACAAGAAAAAGATTTGGGGCAAAAATTGTATGAGTAGAAATAACGTTCAAGACTGGACATATTTACTCAATATTCTATAACAGGTGTACCCGGTCCCAAACAAACAATCAAAATAATGATTGAAAATTTTTAAATTGGAATACGTAAGAGATCTGAGTAAAATGAAGTTGACCCCAGGAGTCAATTTCCATTTCAACTCATTGCTAGCCCCCTTTTCCCCTCTAGTCCAACACAAAGCAACAGGTCACTCTGTTAAGCTAATTTCAGTCAAGGAAGGAGAAAGAGTCAAGAAAGTATCTAAGGATGCTTTTGTGTGTGGTGGATGTTGATTTCAAATGTGGTTCAGATGTGAAAGGTAGAGGAGCAAGTGTTGTTGATGTCTCTTCCCTGTTGCCTCCATTACTTCATTTACCTGAGTTACCCACTGGGCCCCAATCTGTCCTTCAGCCCCAGCTCCCATGAACTGTATCCCTAAGCCAACAGCTTGTCTAGAAAGGAGGCAAGATGTCAGGCAGCAAAATAGTTCATATTAACTTCAGCAATACACATTGACCAGTTGACATCCATTTTAACCAACGCAGATCCAATGTGATCTCATTGTACCTTTCAGCCTGAACAGATCTTCCCAACCACTTGCCCACTCCTCAAATCTGTACCAGTCAGGAAAAATATGAGTTCATGCTATTCCTCTGTTCCTCATTGGTCCAGCCTTCCATTATTGCCAAGTCTGTGTGTGACACAGTGGCAAGCTTTCACTTGAATATGATTTTCAAGGGCCAGGACTAGGGCAAGGTGAACAAGGCACTTAAGTGCCAAAGTTAAGGAAGTGCCCGTTCTCAAGGCCATGCAAGTGCCTTCCCTCGTCCCGGCCCTATGGTTTGCACTCTACAAAGTTAAGTCAGTTTATCTTCTCCCTGTAAACGAGTGTGGCTCTTCTGATTTGAGAGGGTAACTTCCTCTCTGTTGCACCAAATGCTTTAGTGCTATCTATTTTTCCATTACTATAAATCTTTGTATGCCTATGCATTAAGTACTCTTCAGTGCTATTAGAAACATAGTTGATTTAACCTGCTCCAAGTGGCAAGTTAGAACCCCTATCAGTTGGGATGTGTACAAGGACAGCCCTTCAGCAACAATGAGCGAGCTGGAGGGCTGTCACTGCTGTCCATTATCTCCTCTTTCCTGTGCATCCCTCCAAAATTTCACTTCCCAGCACCGACTCTCCTAGTGCCTCCTGCTCTGTTGTCCTCCTATCTGAAAAAAAAAAATGTTCTCAGGAAAGGGATAAATTCACCTACTTTGAGATTATAGGCTTAATGCTACCTCTTTTGAGGATCACTCACATTTTTAACAGGGAAAAAGCCTTAAGCCAAAGGAATGAAGTTCTATTTGCAGAATGTTAGGCATCAACTAGTTGTAGAAGTGTCTTTCACCATGGAAAGATCAAAATTCCCTGACAACTCCAGAATACAGAAAATAGCTTAATCTCTTGGAATCATTTTTACTAATAGCTAATGGTCGATTATGTTGTCCTGATACTCAGTGCTATTCAATGGTTACTACCAAGGGACTCTCAGAAATGGCAACTAAAAGCCACTGAGAAGGCCTAGATCATTTGTACATTAACAGTTTTAAACAAATGGAACAATGCTACTCACCATTTGGGTTAAAAAAAATATATAAGGATTAAAGAGTTTGTGCAAATGTGTCCTGTTTGTGAAGGGTAAAACTGTCCACGTAAGTCGTTCAATGTTGGTGGTACAACTTCACTAATTCAAGCCTCTGCTTCCCCTCTCCTTTATCTCTGTTTTGTGCTATCACTTCAGCTTGGGGTGAGAGCCTAGCTCTACCGCTGTACCCTAGTCCTCCAAAGCCTTTGCATGTACTTCAGCTATGAGTCATGAAAATATTAGGCATTTGAAAGGATGAGGGAGAAAGAGGTGCAAAGAAGTGCCTTTGTCAAAGGGCAGCACAAAGTATAATGATTTAACAATGATATGAAATAAGCAAAGTTTTAGAATACTATGAAATAGATTTATAGAGGTCTGCAGTAGTAAATGATTATAGGCATATATTTGGGGTGTTTTTAATAAGTTTAGCAAAAAGAAATTTGCATGAATAATGGGTTATGTCAAATAGGTGTATACTTTTGTTCAGTAATGCCCGTTAGACCAGTGGATTTCAAAGTGTGGTCCCAAGAGCAGCAACAGCAGCATCCTTGGTGTGTGTGTGTATTCCGGTGACGTCGCTCCCTGGCTCACCTCAGTCACGATTGTTCAACTGCTCCTTACTTTTCCAGTTGTTTCAACTGTCATTATCATGATCAGCCTCTGGCCAGGAGATGCTTCCTGTCACCTTGACCAGTGTTAAAAATTATCAGTCTGAATCTACTATTTATCTTTAGTTTGATTCAACTGGAATCTTTGGAAAAAGGTGTTTAACTCACAAATTAAAAAATGAAGATATTAGGTTTGCTTGGCATTGCCAACTCCGAAATACCTGTTCTCTAGGAGGTATAGACAGAAGTATATTTTGTTTTAAGATTTTACATAAATAATGACATTTGAATAAAAAATGAACTCCCCCAAACAAAATCTGAACCAAAATGAGCAGTTAACCACCCTCAGTCCCTTTGTAATGTCAAGCTTTATAGAAATGTATTCCTTATGTGGTCTTAAGCTTTTTTAATGTTCAATTTTATAAAATGTTCTGCATGCCAACATAGCATCGTATTCATTGTACAGTCACCTCAAACACATTCCTTCCTCTGTGTGTATGATGGTGAAGAAATATCGATATGTATGTTCTGAAGTCTCCTGATGGATTGTAAATTACAAATCGTTTGATTAATTTTTAAATGAGATATATTTACTCTGCTTAGTAGTTAAAATTTTATTCTTTTTATTATATTTCATTGCTACATTTTTCTACTGCCTCCAAAGGTTACTTTGGAGAATATTTTTTATTCCTAGATTGTTCTATTTATCTTATTTCTATATTTATCTATAGTCACAAAAAGTTAGCGCTGAGAGAGACCAGCCTCCCTCACTTCATAGATGAGGAAATTGGGGCCCAGGGGAGCAGATGACTTCAATAAGGTCACGTAGTGCAGCAATGGCGGGGCCCAGCCTCCGTTCTTTGGGGTCTCCTGCCTTTGGGCTCAGTGTTTGCTGGTTGAAAACCCTACATTTATAGAAGCCAACAGCTGGTTTCTACTCTTATAACACATTCCCAGATATTTCAGTGAACTATAATACATGCTTTAAGGGGGAAAAAAACGCTCAAGAATTATTTAATTTATGAGCCCAAAGACAAACCTGATTTTCAATTTAGAAGCATTCATTTCCCTCCACATTGAATGTATTTGCCTTAACTTGTGTAATGGATGTTTTTCCTTAAAAGTTGCATGCAGATTAATTTTGGGGCCAAATTCCAGTTTTAGAAGGCAAGTTTGCTATGTAAGAGAATCTTCTGATGACTTCTTTTGAAAAACTAGGATTCCTCTTATCTCTTAATATCTCCACTTCTTTTGTGTGTGTGAATTTTATAATTTGGTTATCATTTAAAGTAGGACCAACCAAATTATATTTTCTAGTTTTTACTTTTAACATTCCCTTCTCAATTCTTATGAGAAATTTTCAGACTGTTAAGTGCTTTTGAGATATTCAGTTGTGTTCTAGAACTTTCCCTGGCTTGATATTCTGTTAATCCCTGGGCTCAACCTCCATCCCCATCTTATCAAACAACACAATTCCCTCATCAGTATTAAGTTGTGTATATAGTTTGCTCTCTAGAATGTTCTTTGCCTAATGCTTCTTAGCATGCATTTCTCTATGGCTACCCCTGGGTCTCCTTCCTTAGGTTAGCCTACCTCACTATCCTCTGAGGTTGCAAGCAGTGCACCTTTAGGGCTGTGCTGTATATGCTAAATCATATTCTGATTATTTCCATTGTTCCCTTGTTTGTCCTGGAGTGTCTTATTTTCCCTTTCAGGCATTCTCAGAGACTTCTTACCAGAGATTTAGTGAGATTTCCCACCCATCAACCAGACCAGGGATTAACAAACCCTTTCTGCAATGGGCCAGAAAGTAACTATTTTAGATTTGTGGGCCAAATACAGTCTCTGGAGCATACTTCTGTTCGCTGTTGCTCTTTGCTGCTTCATTCGTTTGTTTCACAACCCTTTGAAGATGTAAAATCCGTTCTTAGCTCACCGGCCATGTAAACCCCCCAGGCTGTAAATGGCTATTTCCCATATTTTGCTGCTCCCTGATTTACCCTGTCTGCTGGCACAAGCATTTGTGAATCCTGCCCCATGTCATAACTGGATTGGTGGCCTTCTGCCCTCCCGTCAACCGTATTGTCAGGCGGGGCTGACAGCACAGGACAGGTGGAGAGCAGCTGCGTATGCCGAGCATTCCTCTTCAATAGGGTGTGTTTTGTGTATTTCTTTCACTCTCCTGCCCCTACTCCCCTGACTACCTCAATGTACAAACCTTCTGGACATGTTCTCATAACACAATATGTCTGCTTTTCTGAGGATTTAGAGTAAGCTGATAAGAAAGAAAGGTTTTATGAGTTTTATTCTTTTGTCCCATCATTGCTGCTTCAACACTGTGGTTGGGATCCTCCACCATGGGTCACCCTGTACTGTCCCATTATGTCATTGTAACTTTTGCCAGGTGTGATGGCCCAGGCTGTTAATATTCCTGTCTGGCCTATGGTTTCTGAGGGAACTCGCCAGATTTCTTGGTTCCAAAAGCTGATTTTAAAATGTGTGTCTAACTTGTTAATGCGGTCTGGACCTGTTCTAGACAGAGCACTCAGTCCTAGCAAGAAAACCAATAATGTGCAAAAGATATTCTGTAGCTACAGCTTTTGCTTGCCTCCTGGGCCCCTAGCCCCTGCAGTGGCTCCTTGGGATGTCCCACGGAACACGGACGCATACTGTTCCTCATGCCCTCCAAACCTCCAAAAAGATTTTCTAAAGCTTCATATCTCTCACCACCGTGCTCCTGTCTCCACTCCTCTTGCTGCTTGGAAGTCTAAAATTCACAGTCACATTTTCACATCCACTCTTGCAAACAACGGGGGATACACATAGTTGAGTAGGTGTGTGTCCTATGTGTGTCAATGTAGTTTCTCTCCTGGGACTGTAAGGGCTACAGTGACAAGTGAATCTCTGATCTCTCCCTCCCACACATACACACACACACATTCCAGTGCTATCATGGTTCCTCTGGGCCAGGGCCAGACCTGATCAGACTGGTCCAGGAGAAGGAGATGGTAGGGGCTCCCAAGGACCTTCTGCTTCTGTGTCTTTTGAGACCTCCTTTCCACTGTCTTATCTTGGCTTCTCCCTCGGGTGCCATGCGAAGACCCTCCTCTGTGATAATTGTGGACACAACAGCCTACAGAGAGCTAGACCTTTCATTTTCTGTGAACTCTGCCTTGCATGAAATGCTCCAGCTGTAGCTATACCTAGCACAGCAGATTGTTTCTTAGGATCTGTAGCATGATTTCTGTCACTTGAGCCCAGGGATCTATGTCCCCACTTCCTAAAATCAAAATTTTCAAAAGTCAGAAATTTAATTTTAAGGATTTCTCCTGTTGAAAAGCATCTGTGAAACAGTTTCTCCACCTTCTGTTTAGGACTCCCAGAATGAAGCAAGGAAACCAGGGTTGTGCATGCCACAGCCCCTAAAGCAGCAGGAGCAAACTGAGGCATGAGAATGAACCAGTCTTCTGTGTAGAGGCAGGGGTTGGACTTCTGTGAAGTTAGCACTTATCATTCCGTGCTTGCCAGCAATGCACTTAAGAAATATAAGACAGGAATGTACAGATCAAAACCCTAAGCTGGAATGCAGAGATAAGGCAGCTCTCCCCAGTGATGAGAATGTGTCCCTCTGGATGAAAAACATTCAGGAAGAAGCAGTAACTAGCAAAGATCACAGTCTGGCTCATTTGAGGATTGCAACACCAAATGGAAAAGAGCCCTCTGTGAAATGATATTTCAAAGGATTTTTCTTGTCTTTCTTTTCTTTCTTTCTTTCTTTCTTTTTTCTAACAATCAACAAAAAAAGAAAGCATTCCTTACTGGCTTGCTACCAGCAATTGACCTGTATTCTTTATATAGCTAGAGCTGTTTGTGTCTTCTTAAAATAAAATTTTTCTGTTAAAACCATTTTCAGCTTCACCCTCTCATTTTCATTGTAATAATGACGAATTTCAGTTACCAGGCTCAGTCTGTAAGCATATTTTACCAAACACATAAGCACGGACCTTACGCACACATTGGATTCTGAGGCCCACAACCCCTTTAGAGCCCAAAACAGGTACATGATTTTCAAAAGTTCACAGACAATATGTAGCATGAAAAAAAAAATGATTTTTTTTTGCACCAAGATACATATGATTTTTATTTGCACCAAGATGAACTTATCTTTTTATTCCATTTTCTATGGACTTTTTGAAATG